GACCATGCTGGAAGAAACTGGGACCATAGTGGAGGAAGTGGGATATGGGGAGGGGGGGTAACTGGGACCATGCTGGTGCAACTGGGAGTTACTGGGAGCAAGTAGTACCACACTGGAAGTGACTTGGACCATACTGGGGGGAAGTGAGATCATGCTGGGGGGCAACTGGGAGTGACTGGGAGTGTGCTGGGGGCGCACTAGGAGCAACTGGTATCAGACTGGGAGGAACTGGGAGCAGTGTGGACCAAACTGGAAGCAACTGGGAGTGACTGGAGGTGCCTGTGACCGTGCTGGGGGAGACTGGGATATACTGGGAGAAACTGGAACTATGCTGTGGGCAACTGAGTTCATACTGGGAGCCACTGGGAGCACACTGGGAGGAACTGGGACCATGCTGGGGGTAACTGGGATCATACTGGGAGCCCCTGGGATCATACCGGGAGCACACTGCGGGTGAACGGGAGTGACTGGGAGAAAGTGGGATCACCCTGAGGGTGACTGGGAGTGAGTGGGAACATGCTGGGGGCAACTGGGATATACTGGGAAGTACCCAGTGGGTGACTGGGATCATACTGGGAGTGACTGGGAGCATGTTGGGGGGCAACTGGCAGCATGCTGGGGGCAACTGGAAGCAACTGGGAATGTGCTGGGGGGGCATATTGGGATCACACTGAGAGAAACTGGGAATACACTGAGGGCAACTGGGATCATATTGGGAATATACAGGGGATATAATAGGAGTGACTGGGATCGTACTGGAGGTGACTGGGAGCAACTGGGAGTGATTAGGAACATGTTGGGTGAGACTGGGATCACACTGGGAGCAACTGGGACTATACTGTGGGCAACTGAGGTCATACTGGGAGCAACTGGAATCATACTGGTAGGGATGGAAGCAACTGGGACCACGCTGAGAGCAAATGGGATCATACTGGGAGCAGCTGGGCTCATGCTGGGAGCAACTGGGGGTGACTGGGATCATACTGGGAGTGACTGGGACTATGCTGTGAGCATCTGGGGTCATGGTGGGGGCAACTGGGAACGACTGGGAGTGATTTGGAACATGCTGAGGGCAACTGGGATATACTGGGAGCAACTGGAACTACATTACAGGCAATTGGGATCATACTGAGAGCAATGAGAATCGTACTGGTAAGTAATGGGAGTGACTGAGGTCATGTTGGAGGCAACTGGGATATAGTGGGAACAACTGGGACCGTGCTGGGGGCAACTGGGAGTGACTAGGCTCACTCTGGGGGCAACTGGGATCATAGTGGGTTGACAGGAAGCATGCTGGGGGCAACTGGGAGTGATTAGGAGCATGCTGGGGGCAACTGGGATCACACGGGGAGCAGCTGGGCTCATGCTAGGGTCAACTGGAAGTGACTGGAACCATACCGGGAGTGACTGGGATCATATTGGGAGTGACTGGGAGTGACTAGGAGCACACTGGGGGCAACTGGAACTGGTGTGGGCAACTGAGATCATACTGGGAGCAACTGGAGTAATATTTAGAGGGACTGGGAATGACTGGGAGCATGCTAGGAGTAACTGGGAGTGTTTGAGGGCATGCTGAGGGCAACTGGGATATACTGGGAGCAACTGGAACTACGCTATGGGCAACTGGGATCATACTGGGAGTGACTTGAATCATACTGAGAGTGACTTGAATCATACTGGGAGTGACTGGAACCATGTTGGGTGTGACTGGGAGCAACTGTGGTGATGGTAGGGGCAAATGGGAGTGACTGGGAGTGACTGGGAGCATGTTGGAGGCAGCTGGGACCATACTGGGAGTGACTGGGATCATGCTGGAAGTGGGATCATACTGGGAGGGATTGGGAGTATGCTGGGGGAAACTGGGATCATACTGTGAATATACAAGGGTCAACCTAGGAGTGACTGGGATCATACTGGGGGTGACTGGGAGAAACTGGGAATGATTAGGAGCATGTTGGGTGTAACTGAGATCATACTGGTTGTGACTGGGACTATGCTGTGGGCAACTGGGGTCATACTTGAAACAACTGAAGTCATACTGTGAGGGACTGGGAGCACGCTGGGGGCAGCTGGGATCATATTGGGAGCAACGGGAATCATATTGGGGACAACTGGGAGGGACTGGAAATGGCTGGGAGCATGCTGGGGGTGACTGGTATGTACTGGGAGCAACTGGAACTACTCTGGGAGCAACTGGGATCATACTGGGAGCAACTGGAATCATACTGGAAGTAGCTGGGACCATTCTGGGAGCAACTGGGAGTGATTGGGGGGCATGCTGGGGCAACTGGGATATACTAGGAGCAACTGGAACTGCGCTATGGGCAACTGAGATCATGCTGGGGCAACTGAAATCATACTGGGAGTGAGTGGAAGTGCTTAGGAGCATGTTAGGTGTAACTGGAATCATATTGGGAGCAACTGGGACTATGCTGGGGGCAACTGTGGTCACACTGGGAGCAGCTGGGCTCATGCTGGGAGCAACTGGAATTACATGGAACCAGACTGGGGGGAACTGGGATCACACTGAGGGAACTGGGAGCGACTAGGAGCACACTGGGGGCAACTGGGATACAGTGGGAGGAGCTGGGAGCACACTGCTGGCTGCCAGGATCGTACTGGGAGTGACTGGGAGCAACTGGGGTCACACTGGGGGCAAGTAGGAGTGACTGGAAGCACGCTAGGGGTGACTGAGAGCAACTGGGGTCACACCGGGAGCAACTGGGAGTGAGCAGGACCATGCTGGGAGCAACTGGGAGTGACTGGGGAAGAGGTGAGTCCATTCAGGAGGTGACTGGGATCGTACTGGGAGCAGTGGGACCACAGCGGGGGCAAACAGATGCGGCTGGGGAATCACACTGGTAATGACTGGGAGCATGTTGGGTGTAACTGGGGTCATACTGGGAACAAGTGCCTCCCCCCTTCCCCCGGGAAACGCTGAGCCAGCGCTCACCGTGGTGGGGGCGCGGATATGCAAATTTATGCTAATGTCCCCTCTGTCGCTTCCCGCTCCGCGGACCGCCGAGTCACCATCGAGACGCGGCCTCCGACAGCGCAGAACGGCCGAGCGGCCGCCTATTGGTCGGGCCGTGGGAGCGGCGGGCGGAAGTGGCGTCAGGGGCCGGGAAGTTTGAATCCATCCGAGCGGCAGCGACAGGTTTAGGGGGAGGCTCGGGGGGGGGGGCTCGGCCGTGACGTCACGGCGCGGGGATGTCATAGAGGGGGCAGGAAGGGGGAGCGGTGGGGAGTGACGTAGGCTGGGGGGGGGGGGGCTTAGGGGCGGTTGGGAGGGGGGCACCGCGGGCCGGACCCCTCATTCTCCCCACCCCTCCCCCCCAAGGTGGGTGGAGCCTCGCCATGCCCCGCTCCAAGCCCGCCGCGCCCCGGCGCCGCCGCGTCCCCGAGACCCCGCCTCCGGCCCCGCCTCCGGCCCCGACCCCGGCCCGCCGGCCCCGTCGTGAGTGGAAGGGGAGGGGTTGGGACCCCCCCTATGGAACCCCCCTGTAGATCGCCCTGATCCTTCCCTGACCCCCTCCCCGGCCCTATAGAACCCCCCCAACCCCTATAGAACCCCCCTGACCCTATAGACCCTTCCCTGACATCCCCCCCAGCCCTATAGAGCCCCCCCGACCCTATAGACCCTTTCCTGACCACCCCCCCCGGCCCTATAGAACCGCCCCCCCACCCGGCCAATAAACCCTTCCCTGACCGCCCACCCACCCCAGCCCTATAGAACCTTCCCTGATCACACCCCCCCGCCCTATAGACTCCCTCTGGACCCTATAGATCCTTCCCTAACCCCCCCCACCCTCCGGGCCCTATAGACCCCCCCCTGGACCTTATACATCCCTCTCTAAATCCCCCCTGGACACTACAGACCCTTCCCTGACCCCCCTCCACGGCCTTATAGACCCCTCTTGGACCCAATGGATCACTCCCTACCACCAGACCCTATAGATCTCCACACACCCTATAGATCCCTCCCCCTATAGATCCCCCCAACCCTATAAATTCCCCGATCCCCAGCCCTATAGATCCCTCCTACACCCTATGGGTCCCTCCCTACCACCCTGCATCCTATAGACTCCCCCAAACCCTATAGGTCCCTCCCAGACCCTATAGGTCCCTCCCTTTCCACCCTGGACCCTGTAGGTTCCCCCCCCGACCTTATAGTTCTCTCTCTTTCCCCAAACCCAGCCCCTATAGATTCCCCCGGGCCCCGTTGATCCCACCACCCCCTCCAGACCCTATAGATCTCTCCCAGCCCCTATAGAACTCCCGGGGAGAGGGACCCTATGGATCCCTGCCTCCCCCCAACCCTGGACTGGATGGATCCCTCTGTTATTCCCTGCCCTGGGCCATATAGATCTCTTTGGATCCTATAGTTCCCCCTGTCATCCTCCCTGGCCCTATGGATCCCTCCCAGACCCTATAGGTTCCCCCGTCCTCCCCCCCCAGCCCCTACAGATCCCTCTGTATCCCCCATGCAGCCCCTATAGATCCCTCCCAGCCGCGTCCCCTCACGCTGAGACCTAGAGATCCCCCGGCCCTGTGCCCTGAGTCCCCCCTGCCCCCCCCCTCCGTGTCCCCTTGGTGTCACCCCCTGTCATAGCCCTCCCCCAGTGCCAGCCCCACTGACGCTGTCCCTGTCCCCCCCCCATACCCCATTGGTGTCCCCCCCAACACTGTCCCTGTCACACCTGTCCCCCTCCATGTCCCACTGTTGTGACCCCCCCAACACTGTCCCTGTTCCCCCCCGTCCCACCCGCCCTGTCACCCCCCAATGCTGTCCCTGTTCCCCCGTGTCCCCCCTGTCCCCCCCGACGCTGTCCCTGTCTCCCCCTGTCCCCCCCGTCCCCCCTCCATCCCCCCCCCGCCCCCCCCGAAGCTGTCCCTGTCCCCCCATGTCCTCCCCCCTCCCCCCCGACACTGTCCCTGTCCACCCATGTCCCCCCATTTCCCCTCCCCATCCCCCCTGACCCTGTCCCTGTCCCCCCATTTCCCCTCCCCATCCCCCCTGACCCTGTCCCTGTCCCCCATGTCCCGAGGGTTTCGCCCCAGCCAGCGGGTGCTGCAGGAGATCCGCAGGTACCAGAGCAGCACCCACCTGCTCCTGCGCCCCGGGCCCTTCGCCCGCCTGGTGAGCCCCAACACCCACCCCGGGGGGACACCAAAACCTCCCTGGGGGTCCCCAAAACTCATCTGCCCGCCTGAGCACCCCAGAACCACCCTGGGGGAACCCCAAAATCAATTCCCAGCGGAACCCAAAACCCACCCCAGGGGGGACCCCAAAACCAACCACCTTCCTGGGTGCCCCAAAACAACCCCGGGGGCACCCCAAAAGCACCACTAGGGACCCCCAAAACCCACCCACCTGCCTGGGCACCCCAAAACCACCCTGGGGAACCCTAAAACCCACCCTGGGGGCACCCCAAAACCCGCTCCCCCCTCAGGCGACACCCAACCCGCACCCACTTCCCTGGGCACCCCAAAACCCATCCCTGCGGAGACACCCCCAAACCCCCGTGGGGGACACCCCAAACCAACCCCCCCACACCCCCTTGGCACCCCTAAACCCCCCCCCAGATCCCCTCCAGGACCCCCAACCCCCCCCCCAGCACCCCCAAACCTCCCAAACCCCCCCCGGAATCCCCCAGGCACCCCCAAACACCCCCCGGGTCCCCCACCTCCCCCAGCCCCCCAATGTCCTTGGCCCCTGCGATGACGTGGGTCCCCTCCCTCTGGCCTTGTCCCCTCCCCCTCTCCCCGGTGACGCAGTGGCCTTGTCCGCCTCCCAATGTCCTTGGGGTGTCCCCGTCCCCCCACCACCACAGTCCCTGGGGGGTACGGGCTGTCCCCTGTGCCCCTCCCCCCAGAGGGGCACTGTCCCCATGCCCAGGGGGTCCGCAAAATGTCCCCAAGGTGCCCCCCACATCCCTGCTGTCCCTCGCCCTGGGGTGGGGGGCCCCAACATGTCCCCAACGTGTCCCCAAAATGTCCCCAAGGTGCCCCCCACATCTCTGGTGTCCCTTGCCCTGGCGTGGGGGGGTCCCCAAAATGTCCCCAAGGTGCCCCCCACATCCCTGCTGTCCCTCGCCCTGGGGTGGGGGGCCCCAACGTGTCCCCAGCGTGTCCCCAAAATGTCCCCAAGGTGCCCCCCACATCTCTGGTGTCCCTTGCCCTGGCGTGGGGGGGTCCCCAAAATGTCCCTAAAGTGTCCCCCACATCCCTGCTGTCCCTCGCCCTGGGGTGGGGTGTCCCCAGGTGTCCCTAAGGTGACACCCCAGGGTGTCCCCATGCTCGGGCTGTCCCCAGGGTACTCCCTCCCTCCCCCCCTCCCCCCACCATGGGGTTGTCCCCCCACCTGGGGTATCCCCACGGTGTCACTTGGGGTGTCCCCGTGTCCCCAGGTGCGGGAGATCTGCCTCATGTTTACCCGGGGGGTGGATTATCGGTGGCAGCGGATGGCGCTGGTGGCCCTGCAGGAGGTGGGTGCTGGGGGGGCCCGTGGGTGCTGGGGGGGGGTCCTGTGGGTGCTGGGGGAGGCTCATGGGTGCTGGGGGTTCATTTGGGGGGGGTCCTATGGGTGCTGGGAGGGATCTGGGAGGGTCCTATGGGTGCTGGGGGAGGTATTGGGTGCTGGGAGGGGTCTGGGAGGGTTCTATGGGTGCTGAGGGAGGGAGGCCTCGGATGCTGGGGATTGATCTGAGGGGGCTTATGGGTGCTGGGAGGGTCCTATGGGTGCTGGGGGGAGCCCATGGGTGCTGGGGGGGCGGGTCTGGGGGGTTCTATGGGAGATAGGAAGGGTGTGGGGGAATTCTGTGGGTGCTGGGGGGAACATCTGGGGGTGCTTATGGGTGCTGGGGGGGCCCATGGGTGCTGGGGGTTCATTTGGGGGGGTCCTATGTGTGCAGGGGGGGTCCTATGGGTGCTGGAGGGGGCCTGGGGGGTCCTATGGGTGCTTGGGGGGGGGAGTCTGGTGGGGGCGTCCCATATGGGTGCTGGAGGGATCATTTGAGGGGGTGTGGGGGTGTCTGCAGGGTGCTGGGGGGGCCCATGGGTGCTGGGATGGGTTTGAGGGGGTTCTGTGGGTGATAGGAGGAGATTGGGGAGGTTCTATGGGTGCCGAGGGGAGGCGCATCTGTGGGTTCATCTGGGGGGCTTATGGGTGCTGGGAGGGGCATCCTATGGGTGATGAGGGTGTCCTGTGGGTGCTGGGGGGGGGTCCCATAGGTGCTCAGATGGGTTTGAGGGTGTCCTATGGGTGTTTGGGGGGGTGTCTGGTGGGGGGGGATCCCTTATGGGAGCTGGGAGGAACATCTGTGTGTCTCCAGGGTGCTGGGGGGGCCATGGGTGCTGGGATGGGTTTGGGGGGGGGTTCTATGGGTGCTGGGGGGGGTGGGTATTAGAGGGGGGTTCCTCTGGGTGCTGAGGGGGGTTCCGTGGGTGGTGAGAGGGGTCTGGCTTTGGAGGGAGGTATCCCTGCCCCCCAGGGGTGTCCCCAAAGGGAGGGGGGGTGTGTTGGATTTTGGGGGGGGGGGGGGGGGGCCCTGAGTTGTTTGTTGTTTTTTTTGGGGGGGTGGGCGCAGGCAGCAGAGGCGTTCATGGTGCGGCTGCTGGAGGACGCCTCGCTCTGCTCACTGCATGCCCGGCGCGTCACCCTCTACCCCAAGGACCTGCAGCTGGCCCGGCGCCTGCGCGGCTTCGAGGGGGGCCTGGCCTGAGGGGCGCCCCCCAAAAAAAAGATAAACCTCTTGGGGGGGTCACCTCCCCCACCCAGTCACCGAAACCCCCCCTTGAACAACACCCCCCCCCCCCAATCCCTTCCCCTGGGGCACATGCCCGCTACAGAAACACCCTGCAGAGTGTGTGTGTGTGTGTGTGTGTGTGTGTGTGTGTGTGTCCCTCTTTATTAGGGATTCCCCCACCCCAAACATTGAGGACCCTATTGGGGACCCCCCCCCCGGGATTCCACCCCAAAACCCCCAGCCATGGGGACCCTGCACCCCAATATCACCCCCAGAGACCCTCACGGGTCCCCACCCTTTTAGGGACACACACCCCCCTCCAACTCTTGGGGATCCCCCACCTTAATGGGAACCCCCTCCTAACCCTTGAGGACCCTATTGGGGATCCCCCCCCGGGATCCCACCCCAAAACCCCCAGCCATGGGGACCCTGCACCCCAATATCGCTCTCAGGGTCCCACCCCAAAACCACCTATGATGGGGACCCTGCACCCCAATATCGACCCCAGAGACCCCCACGGGTCCCCACCCTTTTAGGGACTCCCCCAGCCTTGAGGACCCCCCAGCATAATGGGGACCCCCCCCAAATGTTGAGGACCTTATTAGGTCCCCTTCTTTTGGGGACCCCCCCACCTTAATGGGGACCCCTGCAAGGTCCTGCCCCCCAATTACCCCCAGCCATGGTGATTTCCCCCTCCCCCCAATGAGGGGCCCCCCAAGGTCCCCCCATTTATTGGGGACCCCCCCAGCCACTGCAGCCCCCCAATAAACGTGTGTTCCCAGCACCCCCAGCTGCCGCCTATGGGGGGGACGTGGCTTCATTGGGGCGGGGCTTGGGGTGCCCCCCCAATATAGGGGCTCCTCCGGGGTGCACACACCCACCCCCCCTCCCAGCGATGGCGGCCGCGCTGGTGCTGGCGGGGCTGGGGGCGGGGCGAGGCGCGGGAGGCGGGGCCGAGGGGCAGGGCCGGCGCATGGGGCTGCTGCACCTCGCGCTCCAGCGCGGGCCCGTCCTGCGCATGCGCATGGGGGGCGCGGTGAGGTTGGGGGGGGGGGGGGACACGACGACACCACCCCAAAACGGCCCCCCACCCCCCTGCCAGACCCTGACACCTCCCCCGAACCCCCAAAACCTCCCGTTGGGAGACCCCAAAATCCGCCCCCAGACCCTTCAAGAAACACTCCATCCATCCGCTTCCCTCCATCCATCCACCCACTGAGCCAGCCAACCAGTCAAACCTCTGCCCATCCATCCGCAGCTCCATTCGTTCAACCAAAGAGTCCCTTGATCAAACCCTCCTGCCACCAATCTGTCCTTCCAATCCTCCAAACGCTCCCACGCAAACATCTGGCCAGCCCCCACTCAGCACACAAGAGGAACCCATTTCACAACCGTCCCAAGCACCAGCACAGGCCCGGTCCCAGCTCCTGCCGTGACCCAAACCCAGAGCCCAAAGGGGACGGGGATGGGATGGGACCTGCAGGTGCCCCCTCACCTGTGACGGCGTCAGTGGAGACGGGGCCCAGACGTTTCCGACCCCACGCCCCGTACAGGTTGAACTTGTAGCGGCGCGACGGGGACAGCCCCGGCACGGTCACCGTGCGGGAACCCCCATCCACGGGCAGCACCTGCGGCTGGCCTTGGGCATCCCGGTACTGCACCGTGAAGGAGTCAAAGGTGCCCTTGGGGATGCTCCACTCCAGCTCCACGGACTCAGGGGGGACGTGGGAGGCCTTGAGCTCACCCAGGGTTGGCTGCAATGGTGGTTCCTCTGGCTCGGCTGGAGCTGTAATAGAGAGGTGACAAAGCAGGAGATAAACATCCATCCATCCATCCCTCCGTCCATCCACCCATCCATCTGTCCAACCATCCATCCGTCCATCTGTCCAACCATCCATCAATCCAGCCAGTCACCAAGTCACCCAGCCTTCAACCAATCCAACCAACCATCAAATCACACATCCATCTCTCCGGCTCTTTCTCCACTCATCCACGCAGGCCAACATCCCTTCACCATACATTTTGCATGAACAATCTTCCACCCCTGAGGCAACGCATTCAGCCAGCCAACCAACCATTAAGAAGGCCAGATCCCAGCACAACATTCTGTCCAGTCATCCATGTATTTATCAACCCATTCATCCCTCCACCAAATTCTCTAGTCATTCATGTGTCTGTCTGTCTGTCCATCCATCCATCCATCCATCCATCCATCCATCCATCCATCCATCCATCCATCCATCCATCCATCCATCCATCCATCCATCCATCCATCCATCCATCCATCCATCCATCCATCCATCCATCCACCTCATCATCCCTCTTTCCACATTTCTGGACCATTCATTCCTGCACCCTCCACCCAGTCATCTCTCCATCACTCTGCGAAAGCAGTCATCTGCCCATTTCACCATCGTCTATCCAGCATTCCATTCTTTCGGTGAGAAGTTTTTGCTGTGGGCCTAAAAGTGCTATTCTGGCTCTGCTGAAGATTTGTGTGTTCCCAGTGAAAGGAAGCAGCTAGACAGGGATTGCCATGTGCAGCATGGTAGTTTGGAGGAAACAGTGCTGCACAGCGACGATCGTCCATGTAGGTGCTTTCTGTGAGAAGTTTTCGCTGTGGGCCTAAAAACGCTTATTCTGGCTCTGATTAGTGTTTTTGTGTTCCCAGTGAAAGGAAGCAGAGATAGGCGGATTGATATACCAGTGGAAAGGTAATATTTTTATTGAAACCCTTTCTGCTGCTTTTGGGGGGAATTTGGAAGGGAGTATTAGAAGGAAAAGTAGCCTTTTTTTTTTTTTTTTTTTGTATTTCAAATGAGAGATTGTTATCTATGCAGGTAACATTTTTAAAGAACTTTTTGTTTAAAAGAAAGCTATTAATAAAGAGGACTTTTCTTCCTCTTGGAAGACAAAAGAAATAAAAGGTTTATTATTTCATAGCGCCCAGACATCTGGAGAGGAATGTGAATAGCGTTAAAAGTACCTGGTGCAGTCTGCAGTGTGCGTAGTGTTTCTTTATACAGTATTAGGCCTGGCAGGATGAGAAACTGCTAATTGTCCTGGGCATATGACCTGTGTTTTGATATATTTTCAAAAGCAGACACATCAGGAAGCACACACCTTTTTATACTTGAAAAGGTGGCATGAACTGGAACTTGAAGCACTGGAGTTTCATGGGCTTTTTAGGTATGTGATGGGGTAATGAGATGGTTATTATGTGACAGAAATTACTGCTGAAGAGTTAAGTAAAAAGCAAGATTTTGTGCAGAATTTTTTTAAAAATAAGAATGGATGAAGAACAGTTTTCTCTGGTGCATCGAAATATTTTTTGTCCTCTTCTAGAAGAGAGTGTCTTTGGATGCGGAATTACGAACAATCCCCCAGGAAGAAGCATTCAATTGAAGAGCTAAAATAGCCTTTCCACACATGTTAATTCCCTCTTCGGTAGGGAATGCAGGACAGGGATCACTTTAGAAGAAACTTCTATTTACAAGCTCTAACAGCTTTGTACATGATGATTTCTTTCATGAGATATCTCAACCACTTATAATGTATTCTTACATTTTCAAATATCAAACAAACGTAGTGACAGATGCTGCAGAGCAGCTGAGGAGATAGCTCTCTCCCTGTGATTGAGTTATTACGTATTCCATTAGATAGTGCTGCTCAGCTGAGCTTTTGAAGGCGGAAGGTATGATTAACAGAGGAGGAAAGGCTTCTTATTAGTTACAGTAATGCACTGCCAATTGTAGGGGTGATCAAATATTGGTTCAGTCTTACCGCTGTTGCTTACTTTTAATTGGTATGAGTATATTTGATAAAGATGACGGAACTGCCCAGCAGAACAGAGGCCGTATGCAAAGTCACAGCCTCACTGCTCCTCTCGTTTAAGATCAGATTTATGCAGACGGACAAGACAAAGACGTATGAGAAAAACAGTTCAACAAGTGCCACGAGGTCATGATATTGAACCTGAAAAATGAATCTGTTCATTACTTGAACAATGTAACAAGGCAGTTTATAAGGAATATGCTTATTTATTGTAAATGCTACAGCTAAGCAAATGATTTTTGGTTTAGCTGGATTTCAAATTCTCACTTTCATCAGCATTATCTTGCCAAATATGCTCCCAAGCATATTTTAAATTAGGATTTCACACTAGTGATTGCCTTTTTTTTTCCCCTCAAAGGATGAATTAGTTCACAATAAAAGATGCATATTAAGCAATTTATTATGCTAATGACTGTCCTGGGTTGAATGAGTGGTGGAGTTTTTTGGTGGCAGGGGAGGGGGCTATCGGGGCAGCCCCCTGTGAGAAGCTTCTTGAAGCTCCTCCAGCTCCACGTCAGCTCCACTTCTGTTTGGGAAATTGAGCCCATCAGCTGCGCCTCTGCGATAACGTATTTAAGAAGGAATGTGGTGACGGGCAGTCAGACTTGTGAGGAGGAGTTGCTGCAGCTGCATGAACACCAAGGTCAGTGGAGGAACGGAGGAAGAAAGGAGGGGGGAGGTGTGCCGGAGCAGAGACCCCCCTGTATCCTGTGGTGAGACGGCAGGGTGGCCCCCCCCGCCACCCATGGAGATCTACGGTGGAGCAGACACTGATTTATGGCCTGTGGCTTCTGCTTGGTATAATCAAGGTGCTGTGCCCGAAGAAGGCCGGGGTCTCATGGGAAAAGGCAGCCCCGCTGCTGTAATTCAGTGCTGGGAGGATTGCAGCATGCGGGGGAGTCCCACACTGGAGCAGCTCGGGAAGGGCTGCAGCCGTGGGAGGGAATCCAGTCGGAGGTAGTTAGTGACCCATGATGGAGCAGTGTGGGGAACGCTGCGGCCCATGGGAGGAGCTCATGTTGGAGAAAGTTTGTGGAGGACTGTCTCCTGTGAGAGGGGGGGACCACGATGGAGCAGGAGGAACAAGTTTCGGACACTCCCCTCACTGAAGTGGCATCCCTGCCTGCACCCCCCATTCCCTGCCCCTGAGCCACTGGGGGAGGACGTAGAGATATTGGGAGCAGAGCTGAGCCCGGGGAGAAGGGAGGGGTGGGGGGAAGGTGTTCTCAAGATGTGGCAATGCTTCTACTATCCTACTCTGTTATGTGTTGTTAGTGTCTGTAATAAATGTCTGTTCTTTTTTTCCTCTCCTAACGAGTCTGCCTTTTGCTCGTGATCATAAAGGGGAATTTTCCCCCATCCCAGTCCTATCTCGAACCCCAAGCCTGGCTCTCTGCCCCTTCCCATTGCTGGAGGAGAAGGGAGAGAGAGCTGTTGCGTTGTGGTTGGCTGCCAACCAGGCCCAAACCACGACAATGACTTGCAGAAAAAAAGCCAAATTACCTTGATGGTAGATTATATTGAACAATCGAAAAACACACTCATCGGAATTCTCAGTGAATGCATAGTTTAGCTGTAGTTTGCTACAGGAAGTTTCCTGTTAATAGTATCCACATTATAGACAAATAGTCGTGCATTAGCAGTAACCACCTTCATAGTGAAACAGTGCAGACAGCTCTCACTCAGATTTGTAATTATGTCTCATTATCCTTCAGCAGTCATTTTTAGCTCAGTTTGGAAGCAAAGCTTGTGTGATCATGGCGTATGGTGCATGCCCTGGCATTTCCTACCTGCTTATCTTAAAATCTGTCATCTGATTCCAACCAGACTGAAAGAGAAGTTGAGACTCAAATGATGCTAAAGTTTGTACAAATTTTACACTAACAGGGAGTCAGGTAGAAGAAAAAGCTGACAATAATGGATACAGAAGCTTTGCCTAAAAATATGAATTCATAGGAAACAAAGTGTCCTGACTTGCTCCCAGAACGGTTTCTCCCTCTGAGCTGTGAAACATTTCCTATGGCATGCTGTGTGCCCGGCCACTTTTGCTGACCTCCCTGGCACCTGGGGACATCCGCAGTTTGGGGCACGGGGCTATTAGTCAACTGGAAAAGTAGGAGAGAGAGTTGCTGCAGTGTAGTAGCTACACATCATTAAGGTTACATAGGGATAAGGATATAGGTGGAGAGAAACACTTTCAATGCAATCTTGAAATGACACATGGATTAACATTCCTAACTTCAGTCAAAGAAAGATTATACAAAATACATAGACTATCAAAATTATTCTTTCAAGTTGGATCAATAACAAGATTCAGTCAGAGAAAAAGCTGTTCTGTGATAATGGCAGGAGATAAAATAATCAGTCTTAAGTGAGCAAGAAAATAACGAAATCAGTGTAATTGGAGGAGAAACAGTTGCCTGAACACTCATCCTGCACCAACTCTATCAAACATCTTGTTATAATTGACTGAAGTCCAATCTCATAACAAGCATACAATTTTATTTGGGTTCAATCAACTTAGGGTGAGAAGCAATAAGCAAAGCAGCGCTGGGCGCGTGGGGAGTCTCAGCTCTGCCACACGCACCCCGAGTTCTAACAGCAGTGCCTTTTATACTCCTGTACCTGCGTCTTGACCAATCCCCATTTACCAGACAGTCGTCCTGCTCTTCCTCCGTTGGATCATTCGAGTTGCTGGGGTACATGTCCGTCCCTTGTTGGGTCCTTTGAAAGTCTGGAGGTCTCTGCCTCTTGGCGCGCTGTTGTACTATTGGATCTTTTGGAAGTGGCGGGATTTTGTCTTTCAGCGGGCTGTTCTCAGCAGAGGTTGCATCAGCTCAAGGCGGAGTTTCTAAGAAGTGGTTACATTGTTCCGAGCAAGAAGCACACTCATCTATATTTTATTCTTGCATATTCTCGATTTGATTCCAACATTCATCACAATTATTATACAGGTTATAGTGATCACACATCATTTCAGACCCACACAGGGTACAATAATTACATTTATCACACCGTATTTTATTTTGGCACGAATCATGCCTATGTTTTCCACAATCTGAACAACCTAAATCAGAGGGAAGCAGCTCAAACACAGAGAATCTTCCAGATTCTCCAGCTCTAAGAAAAGTCAGCAGTAGTGTCAAAAAGCTACAGTGTAATGAGTTTTGACCACACACAAAATGAAAACAAGTCATTTTTAGCAGATGATTATTACCAATACGAATAAAAGCAAATGCCACTTCAGAATCTGGTCAGTTGAGACTTCTCAGTGCACATAATCATGGATTTTTCTTCTCCAATCACTGCAACTGTTACCTAGTACCTCTGAGTTAATGGCCCTGGCA